CCCGGGTCCCTCCTAGTCCACATCCGGGTCCAGACCCATCAGTGCATCTGGAGGAAAGTGACATCCGGTTCCTCCATGCCACTTCTGGGTCAGTGGACATGGAAGAAAGTGACATCCGGGTTTCTCCCAGTCCACATCCGGGTCCTGGCCCTTCAGTGGACCCAGAGATAGGTGACATCCGGGTCTTTCCCAGTCCACATCTGGGTCCCTCCGGGTCCTAGCCTCTCCGTGGCCTCTGGTCGGACCGCAGCTTCTGTACAGCGCGCGCAGGTTCGGAACCCCACATCCGGGCATCTTCTGGCTGGGGCCCAAGAGTCTTGCTGGAGCTGGACATCCGGGTCTCACGCACTTTCCCGGCAACCGAACCCAGCGGCCTAAAGGCAGGAATGAAGCCCCACATCCGGGTCTTCTTGGTCTGTGGCCCGGCAACCGAACGCAGAGGCCTAGATGCTGCGGTGGAGCCCAACGTCCTGGTATCTTCACTTGGTTGCCCTGCAACCGAACGCCGCGGCCTAGCGGCGGGACTGAAGCCCCACATCCGGGTCTCCTCAGTCTGTTGCCTTGCCATGGCACCCAGCGGCCTAGTGGCGGGAATGAAGCTGAACATCCTGGTCTCCGGCGCGCGGGGGGCGTGTCCGGGCAGCGCCCCGGGGTGGGCATGGCAGATGTAGGTGCCTCGGTCCCGCTCGGAGGCGGCGCGCACCTCCAGGCTGCCGTCGGCGCCCAGCGTGAAGCGGCCTCGCCTCTGCGGCCCACGCAGCACCAGCCCGCCGGGCAGGCGCCAGGACACCGGAAGCGTGGAGGTGGGGCAGCGCAGCCGGAAGCTGCCGCCCAGCACCACACGCAGCGCCGCCTCCGACGCCGTCCCAGGGGGCGGAGTCAGCGCCTCAGAGGGCAGAGTCGGCGCGTCAGGGGGTGGAGTCAGCGCCCAAGATGGCGGGGCAGGCGGGCCAGGGGGCGGAGCTGCCTCAGAGGGCGGAGCCAGCGCACCAGTGGACAGAGTCAGCGCCCAAGATGGCGGGGCAGGCGCGTGATGGGGCGGAGCCGGTGCAACAGGGGGCGGAGTCAACGCCTCAGAGGGTGCAGTCAGCGCCCAAGATGGCGGGGCAGGCGGGCCAGGGGGCGGAGCTGCCTCAGAGGGCGGAGCCAATGCAACAGGGGGCGGAGTCAATGCTTCAGAGGGCCCAGTCAGCGCCCAAGATGGCGGGGCAGGCGTGCCAGGGGGCGGAGTCAATACCTCAGAGGGCAGAGCCGACACCGCAGGGGGCAGAGCCCGCGCCCACCATGGCGGCAGCCGCACCCACATCCGGGCTTCTCCTGCCGGGTTGCGCGCCACGCATGCCACGGCGTAGCTGCCACCGCTGCGCAGCGCACGCACATCCGGGATTTCCAACGTCCCACGAGCATCCACGCTGATCCCTCCCCCCGTGTGACTGCGATACGGGACTGGAAGTACCAGCCCGCCCGGAAGTTCCCACAGCAGGCGGGGCTCGGGGACGCCATCCGCCTGGCAGCGCACACGCAGACGCACCACGGGGGAGACCCGAATGTCCTCGTTCACGTCATCATGGATGTCAGGTGTGACCCGGATGCGCGGTGACCGCAGCTGCACGTGTAGGCGCAGGGTGGCGCGCCGGCCCCGCCCCGCCACGCACGTGTACGTGCCTGCGTCGGCCCGCCGTGCCCCCCGCAGGCGCAGACGCCCATCTGGCAGCACACGGAAGTGGGCGTCCTCCGAGCCGGACGTGAAGGCCACGGGCTGCAAGGCCGGCGTCAGCCAGGTCACTGCGTGCGACCCCTGGGTCACGGGGCATGTGAGGGTCACGGGGGCGCCATAGGGGACGGAGAGCTCGGGCGGTAGCGGGGCGGAAGCGGAAGTGGGAGACGAAGAGGAAGCAGGAAGTGAAGGGGAAGCAGGAAGTGAAGCAGGAAGCAAAGGGGAAGCAGGAAGTGAAGAGGAACCAGGAAGTGAAGAGGAAGAGGAAACAGGAAATGAAGAAGAAGGAAGAGACTGAGAGGAAGAGGAAGAAGGAAAGGAAGAGGAAGAAGAGGAAACA